GTTAAATTGACAGCTGATCTTAAAAATAACCTACAATCCGTTGTTAACTGGAGCAAGGAATACTTTGTTAATTTTAACACTTCCAAAATGAAACTGCTCTCTTTTAATCATCTGAAAGAACACTTTTTCTCTTTCCTCAGTATAGCTGATACTAACTTACAGGATAATAACTCATTTCACCTTCTCAGGTTAATGTTTTCTGCTAACATGAAGCTGAAAGATTATATTGAATCATTTGCTTGGTCTTCTGCTGGGAAAATTGGTTCATTGTGCTAGAAATTTTTTCTCACATATTTATAAATCAATGCATTGACTATTGCTGTAACATTTGGTCTAGTTCTTCTGCTATGTATCTAAAGATTCTTCATAAAATACAAAGAAGAATCTGCAATATTATTAGTCCTGATCTGACATCTAAATCTCAGTTGTTTTTCCACAGCCATAACATAGCATCCATGTGCCTTTTCTATATATATATATTTTCATAGTAATTGTTCTGATGAACTTTACTATAAGGTCTCATCATTTTACAGTTGAAATGATTAGATATAACCATAAGTTCTATGATAACAGTTTCTTCTCCCATACTTCTCACTTGTAGAACTTTGATCTTCAAAAAGTTAAATGCAATGTCAATCATTATTTTCTATCTTCTTAATTCCTGTTCCTTATTATTCTCTCTCCTTAATATTTTTATCATATTCCCTGACACTCAATAACCTCTTGTGGTTTTATTGCCTGGCTTGTGTCGAAATGATTAAAAAATTCTCCTCAGGTTAAAACCTGCTGCAGCAAAATCTGGACTCCATGTAATTAAAACAGAATTCATGTCTTAAGCAGCAGGTGATCTTATAACATTCAAAATTGACAATCTAAATTAGAAGGATGATTTTTTATATCCGGGATCACGGTTGAATTCTTCACAAAAAAACAAAAAAAAAAAACAAAGATGCCAAACTTGCAATGGCATGGACAGCACTGTAAAAAATGGATACCATCTGGAAGTCAACAAAAAAAAAAAAAAAAAACTCTAATACAGGTCAAACAGCTGGACATTAACAAAATCACTGAGGAAATGTAGATGTTATGTACACTTAACTACTGAAAGTAGTGTTAAATGTCAGTGGAAACAGTATATGTCCAATGAAGAATTATATGGGAAAACTATCAAAGATTACAGATACAATCTGTGAAAGATGAGTGCAGTTTAGTGGCCATTGCTGGAAAAATATCAAGAAGTTATGTATCAGCTTATACTGTGGGAACTAAATTATGAGAAAAGATCAAAAGATATATTAGCAAGAATCTTTATCAATTAACTTATAGAGGACACCAGAATCAGAAAAGAACTGGGTAGAAGTATTGATAACAGAAATGGTTGGATAGAAGTGGTCAGAAGTATTCATTCAAAAATGATCCAATAGATATATAAAGTTTTGTTCTAACTTGCAGAGAAAAATATCATCATCTGAAAATCTTTCTTATTCTTCTTATTATCATTATCTGTTCAAACATTAAGAATATTCAATTTACACAAATAAAAAGTCATAAAATTAAAGATTTATTTATTGTTTTTTTTAGAAGAGCAAATGGTGAAAATTAAAAAATGACTACTTTTCACCAGGTATCATATTTTGAAATATATATTTGAAAAAAGTATTTTAAAATGTAACAAGAATAAAGAAAAAGTCATTCAAATTCATTTTCAAAAGAAAAAATGATTTAAAAATAGTTACATCTTTATTATATTTCATTGAAAAAAAAAAATTATAAATTCACCAGATTTTAAGTTTGACTCCAGAGTGAAATGTTTTTTTTGTTGTAAGTTTTTCTGTAGGCAAAATATACTTTTGATTTTAATATATATTCAAAGAATAAATAAATAAGCATTGTAAAAATTAATCAGTCTAAATTTTGTTATATTTTTAAGTTAAAATAACATTGTTAATGTTGGTATTGAAAAAATAATGCTTAAAATAAAAATTAAAAAATATTGGATTTTTAACATTCAACATAATTTATTTTTGAATAATAATTTATTATTAATCATAAAAGCTTAAAATAGTTTTTTTTTTAATTCCTAATTCACCTTGATTGATTTGTTTTTATGGCTTATCAACCCTTTGTGAGCTATTTAAAACCAAAACAAATTTTGGATTACATGAATAATTCTTTCTTTTGTCATGATAATTATTTTTTTTTTTGAGAATAACAATGATTTTTCCAGATACAAGTCCTACTATTTAACCCCTGGCTAGAAGAAGAGAAGGATTCATACTTTCCTTAGTGGTATTTATACATAAGTGAATGCAATGAACTTGACTGGAAATCAAGCTTTCTGATTTCTGAGTCACTATCCATTTACATCAACACACTTCACCACACATCCTTCTAATGTCTAGAAATGATTAACTCCTTATTTCAAGAAAAAATGTCCTGGAAGCTGAGGAATTATTTTCAAATGATTTGGTAGTTTGAACTTTAGGAGTGGCTTACTTTAAAAGCATGATAAAGTCATTCTCCATAAATAGTACTTTCCACATAACTGCTTAGATGCAATGATCAGAGTTTAAAAAAATAGGTAGGAAGGAATATAACTATTATTTCATTCCTTCCTTCCTCTTGATAAATATTCTGAAATTTTATCTACTCTATGTAGTTATTGCAGATTTTACAAGAATATGAATATATATTGACTTCTGGATTGAAGTTAGGGTAATTAGTAAGCACTAATAAGTGGTAAGAGCCTGAAAATAAACATCTGAAGACTTAGCTTTTTTAATTGAGTTCAAGCACTTAGACGTACTCGGCGGAGTAGGGATAAGGCCAAGTTTAAGTAACGTACAACGGTACAACTCTCTCAGCTACCAAGTCTGGAGTTATTTTTATTTATAACCTGACTTCATGTTTCAGATATTATTTGTGAAAGGGATGTGAAGTATACTGTCACAACAGACATGCATTTTTTTAAAGTGACATAGTCCTCTCGTCACTGCAGCATTTTAAAAGTGGAATCATAGAAAAAAAAAAAGATACGAAAAGGCATCCGTAGTTGATGTTAGCCAAACCTTTTTGTATATTTTCTGTTGGCTTATGTATTACTCATTTTTAAAAGCAGCAGCTATGTTCAGCTTGCCGCTCCTTCCTTCGTGGATGGAACTTATCTCTACTAATTATTTTACCAGTTGCTTTTTCTTTTCCCAATTGAACAACAGTGAAACTCGCTGTTCAGTTACATTTTTGTGTGCTTTCGTTCTGATATTTTTGTCGCAAGTGAATCAATTGAAAAACTGAAAACTAGATTCTTTTAGTTTTAATTCGCTTACAAAAATGATGAAGTGTTAAGAACGAGAAAAAGAAGAAATAAAATCTGGGTTGTGCCCAAATGCGCGTAGGAAAGTCGGCATTTTTATTTATTTATTTTTTTAAAATTTATTTCTAGTGGTTGATGCTTGTCTTGTTTTGTATTCCGTTTAGTTTTATTTTTTTTTTAGCTTTGCTCATAAAGCGAATATGACTCATTTCATTTGAAATTTTTCATGTAGTCAGCAAGTATAAAAATTTCTAAGTTAAAAATTATAGCTAAAATTTAATTATTTCAATTAGTCTGCAGGAAAAGGAACACAAACAAAAAAACATTGTAATCACCCTTGATTGCCTACATTTATTTAATAAGAGAAAAAGCGCATCATCTAGTTTTATAATAAAATTTGATCGCAACTACAAAAAATTTCATTGTAGTAATTGTTGCCACCATTCTCATTTATCGCAAAACTCGAACAAAAGAGATTGACTTCTTCGATGTGTGTGTGTTTCAAAGGATAAAGAAAGAGAAAATTGTTTACGCAATGTATTCGCTGACTCATTTAATTAAATTAGCAGATTTTTTCATTGTTAATTTCTATTCAAGACACATTTCAGCTAGAAAAGGGACAGCATAGGAAAAAAGGTTTTGACATTTTTTTCTAGTCTTCAACTAAATCAGGACTAAGTGCCCTAGCATTAATAACAAAAAATACAGTTAGTTACAGTACTACACTTAGTGTTGTTGCAGCATCACACAAAAATACAGTGACCGAAAATAAAGACAAAAATAAAATCATTGAAATTAATTAAGCTTTCATGTTTCCAGTGTCACTTCACACTCACAGTAATAAATTTTTATTTTTTACGTTATTGAAAGTGTTTTTTGTTATTTCTTTCTTTCTTAGACAAATTTATTATTACTTATGAAATGAAAACCTGACGAAAATCGCGTGTTATTTGCTACAACCAGAGAAAATCAATGTGTAGGATAAAAAATGTTTCTTGTTTTACAAAATAATATTTTACCTGGAAATTTGTCGACGTGTCAATCGATTCTTAAATTCGCATCGGTGGTTTCCATTTTTTGATAATGAACAATAATTCTTATAAATTTGTAGGAAAATGTGAGGAGGGGACGATTAAGAAACCTTTTCCCTCTGCATCTTTTAGTTTTATGTGCTTGATTCAATTTTTATTATAATTATTATTAACTGACAAAGAAAAAGAATTCATGCAATTTTGATCGAGATAATATGTTTAGTTTTAAAAATGTTAAAAAAAAAAACAGGTGCAGGATTAAAAAATTAAGTTTTATAAAGTGAAAAATTTATGATCAAAAAATAAAAATTGATCTTTTAATTCAATTTTTTAAAAACATTCACAATTATTTAAAAAAAAAGAAATGAAAAAATGAAATTCAAAGGAAAAATTTTTAGGAGTTTTGTTATTTTTATTTTTCAAATTTTTTATTTTACTCATTGAAATACAATTCCTATCAAAGACTGATTTTTATTTGGTTGGTAAAGATTGAACGATTGATTTGTTTTTTACGGTTTATTAACATTTTTTGCAGGTTATTTAAAGCCAGAAAATATTTCCTAAAGGTTTTTGCGTGTAAGTGAATATAACAAACCTAACTGGAATTGAAACTCAGCTTTCCAATTCTGAGCCATTACACCACCCACACATCTAAGCTGACGGTACCTGGTATTCCCAAATGGTCACTCATCTAAGTACTGACTAGGCTTGATGTTGCTTAACTTTGGTGATCATAGAAGAACTGGTGTTTCAATGTGATATGGCTATAAGCTTGTATGGTAAAGAAAGAATATATTCCAACTTGTGGTTGTAGCAACATTCAAAGTTTAATCATTAAAATGATGAGTCAACATTACACACACACACACACACACACACACACACACACACACACACACACACACACACACACACAGAGGATCAACATAAATGTTAGGCTCCAGAAATAAAAGACTCATAAATTAAAATCTAAAAATAAAGTGGACAGGAAGAATTCACTTGTGCCATGTATGACAACTTTATATTCACAGCAGAAGATGACTTAAAAGTCTTCAAGATGAAGAGGTTTGAAGATAAACGAAGAGAAGGGATATGCAATATTGATGTAGAAACATTGCTCCCTTGTCGTAAGCAATAAAGCCACTAGGACACAAAGGGTTACTGAGTGTGAAAGAAAAAGAAAACACTATTAAAGTATTTATTGAAAAGGCAAAGAGAAACTACATTATGGTGCTGTGAAAGTGACTGAAGCTTGGATGCCAGGTTAGGACCAATAATATTGCAGTTTCTTCTTTGGATTTTATCAAGAATCTCTAAATAGGGGCACCATATCATATGTAGCAGCAATATTCAAAGCATGGACAAATGGTAGACTTATAAATATATAAGATAGATTCTGGAGAGAAAGATTGTCTAGCATGACACACTGAACCGATTTTTCTAGTAGCAAACCTTGTAATGTAATTGATTCAATATAATCCTTCAACTTAATGTCAGCAGATAATGTTAACTGGAGAAGGCACAAGTCACTCTCTTGGAAGTTAGCAAAAGGATCTCACAAATGATTAATAGAAAGCAGTCTTGTTTTGGAGGCATTAAAATTAACAAGCCATTCCTTGCCCCAGTTTATAGCATATTTTAGGTCACTTTTGAGATGAGCTGCTAATTTGAGCTTGTTGAACTAATCAGACTCACTATTAAGACAGGTGTAAATGGTTATATCATCAACTCAGATACTGATTTGAGGGCTGAAGCCACCAGGAATGGGCTTTTATGTAAATTAGGAACAATGTAGGTTCAAAAATAAGGCCCTGGGGACAGAGCTGGTGTGTGGGGGTAAGCTAGTGCTTTGTGCCCCTTGCTATCTTATCAACATTTGCCTTTTTTTCCCCTACATTTATATACATTACAAATTGAACTAAGCACAAGTGACTATTAAAGGATGACAAAATTTTGAGGATTTTGGTGTCATTCTGAGATCTTTTTTTTTGTCCAAATCCTGTAATTTGTTTTGCTCATGCTAAGTCTTGAGAAAATACTATATAGAATTCACTATTTTTTATCTATAATGTTGAGTGTGCTAAAATTATTCAACTTTTTAACAAGAAAATTCTCAAGTTGATGTTAAAAATTGCCACAAAATATTGTTGATAAGAGGGAATGATCTATTATGACATGTCTCTAATTTCTATTTAAATACATTGAATTTATTTTCAATTTTTCTAGTTGAATTGTTCACCTATATTGCATATGATCCATTATTGTAGATAATTAGCTTACAATAAAATTTGTATATTATATGAATACGAGCTTATGAAAATTGAGATGTAGCCCCATATCATAGATTTGGGAGGTATAATAGATTCAGAAGCAGGATGGCTATGAAACCCTTGCACCATGCCTGTTTAAGGGATACCAGAATTAATGCAAAAAGATCTAAAAGAGTGGCCATTGAGGACAACATTCATTCTGCAATTTCATAAGAAACATTGAATCAGATCAAAAATTAATCTAGAAATACTATAATCTTTCAACTTGTAAAGCAGGCCAGCATATCTGTCAAACCCTGTCAAATGCCAAAGCAACAGCCCAAACTTCACCATCCTTATATAAAGCTTGATAGATTCTTTTAGCTATAATTGTTAATAACATCAGCAGTTGACCTAGAGAAACAAAAGTCATATTGCTTATCTGAAAGAACACCCTGCAAGGTGAAATGATTAACCAATTCAGAGTTAATTAGGGCATCTAGTACTTTGCTATTAAGAGGTAGAAGGCTAATAGGTTGATAGAAGGATCAGACAGTTCACTTGAGTTCTTAAAGACTGGAGCTACAGAAGAGGATTTCCAACATGCAGGGAAGCAAGAAGCAGCCAGACCTTCATTGTAGAGTTTAAAGAAGACAGAAGCCAGTTCAAGAGCACATTTCTTAAGGATTATTACAGGGATATCATCAGGTCCACATGCTTGTGAAGATCCAATTTAAAGGTGACAGTGGAAACCATGGTAGGAATTGTATATCATTCAATAGAGACTCAGTTCTAAGTGGCAAGTTAAAGATACTCCAGATGTGTCAAGTAAAAGAGTAAATTATTAGTGGGGAATTTAGAAGAGTTCTCACATAGCTGATCCAGTTATTCTCAGTTTCAGAACAATACTGATGGTCACTTGTAAATGGATTTCATGAAACTCTGTGGGTAGAAGATTTATTTCTACAAATGGTATATATTCTTGTGGAGATATTTGAAGCAAAGGTTGTAGATGAAGGAGATGAGGCTGATGAAGGTATTTATACGCAACTGAATTGGTTTAATACAAATTTGTTGAAACATTATATATAAAACAGAAATAAAAGAGACTGTTTATTAGAATTGAAGTTAGCATCATCATGTTGATAACAATGTTCAGTGGGGTCATACTTATTGACAGATATGCGAATGAACTCAACTGACATAGTTTGTACCAGAACAAATTCATTTTATTTGTGAATGCACTGAGTTGTCTTTAAAGAAACCTACAAGTTTTTAATACACTGGAGTGGTCAATACTTTAGTGCACATGGATTTTACTGCAGGTTAGGTTTCCACTAGAGTAATATATTTTTTCCACTACAGTAATACAATTTTAATACATATTTGATTATGGCTATAAATATATACATCTGTCAACATATTAGTGAAGTGATCTGCTTTTGTTGGAGTGGTAAAAAAAAAAAGATTATTACCATGTATGCAAGATACTTGTTTTAGTCAAACTTTACTTCCCCTTTCCTCAGAATATCATGGCCAAAGAAATTGTCAATTAGTAATATTGTTGAGCTACTGCAAGAAGATATTAGAAAAAAACATACTCAAAGATACATAAGTGAAAAATTTATTTGTTTATGGTGGCTTCACCTAATTTATAATTGTTAAGACATATATCAAGGTGAATAGAGTCCTTTTAGTTTTGGTAAGTCATAGTAGGAATTTTTCCTCCTTATTTATATTATATGTTCAAACTAAGGTATAAGCAAATAATCTAAATTTGGTTGAAAAAGTGGAAAATTTGTGCTTCTTAAAACTTTTCTTTAGGCTCATACAGGTTTACTAATGCACTAAGTTGTAATTTTGTCTGGGGTTAATGTTCTACAATCTGTCTGTTTGTGAATTTGGTGACATTGTAAATGTGAGTTCAATCCCTAGGCCAAGTATTACAGACTCAGACACAGTGGGAGCAGAGCAAGTAATAGCTAAGCAGTACTAAATAAGAACAAGATGAGATATCTCTAGACATGCTTTGTGGAATAAGAACAATCAACAACCCCCTACCCAGGTTAAATAAATGATTCAGTTTGAAATTCTCTGAAGGAAGAGAAAGAGTGAGTAAGATTGACATGGAGAAAGAGTGATTGAAAGAGGGTAAGAAAAGAGAGTGATAGATGATGAATGAAAGGTCAGGAATGAATGAAACTGAGAGGGAGAGAAAGGAGAAGAAGGGAAGCTGTAAGTGAGAGGGAATGATTGGAATTGAGAGAGACAGAGTGAAAAAGAGGAAGTGAAAAGGTGGGGAAGAGGTTTTGCATGTATGTGCACTTGAATTTATAAAGCATACATTTTAATTTAACCAAGGATGCTGCAAAAATCTTTTAGTTGCTGGATTTATGAGGTTTGTTAACAAAAAAACCCTGAACAGAAACTCTAATATCCTTATGACCATTAAAGAACTTGTCAAATTCAAATTCATGTACAATTAAGTTTTTCTTTCAGAATTTTAGTTTAGAAGAAAAAATGCACATAATATATGTATTGTTTGGGATGCCTTACTGTAGAGCAATGGTCAGCAAGCTTGTGAAATAGACTATTTGTTAGTGGAGTTATTTTGTTCGTCACTGACTTCCCTACTATAATGGCCTTATGTCAGACAATGTTATACTTATTTAATAATTGCGTAAAAGAAATTTGTGAACTTATAAATGAAACTATAGTTTTTGTTCAGTCACTCAGAAATGAAAACTTGGAATTTCAACAAAAAATCTTCTCCAAACACGAAAACTGACTTCTATGAACAAATAGATTTTATTACAAAAATTCTTTGACAGATTTTTGCATGAAGGCTCACTTTGTTTAAACCCACAAGGCTGATACAAATTTCTATCTTCTACAGAAGGAAGAAATTCCTTACAAACATTCTTGGCCTTATTTTTAAAGACAACTGGGAGAAATAACATTTCTTGGACATTTTTCAAAGTTATTTTTGTCTCTTATCATAAAAATATATATTTTCTTGCTCTCTCTCTCTCTCTCTCTCTCTCTCTCTCTCTCTCTCTCTCTCTCTCTCTCTCTCTAAGACCCTCCTTTCTTATTAATAAAAAAAGACTAGACTGTTAAAAACATTTAGAATTGTATTTTTATAACAAGAAAAATGAGAACCAGATGACAGTGTATCCCATGACACAGAAGTTGCAAGTATTTCACAAATTCTTTGGTGTTCACTGTAAATTCTATTGTTTAGATTTTATAAAAGAAGTTTATTTGCTTGACCAGGTAATGTGTTTTATTTTCTTAACCAAAAGCAATTTAGGAAAAATAAAAAACAGAATTTAATAATAAAATAGTTTTACTAATTCTATTTGACAGGATTTTGTTCAGCTCAAAGCAGAGAATACCAAAGATTACTTTTGAAAATCTAAATTTTTATTTATAGTCTGGGATGTGTCATCATGATAATGTCCTATAATTATGGTACTTTTTGATAAATCATTACATTTTACTGAGTATTTTTTCAT